CACTTTCGGTGCCCAACGCTGCTTCTGGATCCTTATATAGAACAAAGCTAGTACTATTTTTCTCGCGCATCTTGGCCCCGAACCCCTGGTTCGTGCTGAGACGAAGGAGCGCAATAGGTTGCGGTTCCAGTGATGCGTGTGTTCGAGCAGCATGGAGCAGTGGAAGCGTCTGTTGCCTGCAGGTTCGTGCTGAGACGAAGAAGCGCAAGGCTCCCGCACCTGTAATCCCTCGCGCGCTCCCCCTCCTTCAGCCGGGGTCGGCGGATTATAGTGACACAATGTGGCACGATTCGAGTGCTAAGCTGGCACACTCCTACCTCTGTGATGATTGGGAATTTTACTCTGTTGAGATAATTGTATCCTTTGTTCTGCTTTCTTTCGCTGAGTACTTACTCTGACCGCAGTGAATCACCAGTGCATAGGTCAGCAGTGCCACCGAAGAGCTCCTCCCAGAACCTCACTGCCCAGGCGCCTCGCAAAAGGTGATCAAACCAGAATGGCTCAGATGGATTCCATAGAAATGCTCAATGGTCGAAGCATGTACCAGTCCTTTGGCCTTGCTAATTGATTTGTAAAACAGATCATGGTCATTTGTATGCCAGCATGTCATGTTGTGCCAGTCCGCTTTCAGGCCATACCTCCAGAGTATCATTACCAGGAGACCTTCCAAAGTGTGAAGGCACATTCCGAAGACGATGAGGACGATCACTTTTCCTGACCACTCCAGTGACAGAAACGTGCGCTAACGGCCATGGATTTGGGCACTCCCTGTTTCCAGGTTCCCAAGATCAGACGTATTGGAGTGTAACGACGTGGTGTTTTGTGATGTGAAGTGCCATGCGGTAATCAGTGATGCGGTGAAGCGTAATGCAGCGAGGTGCAATGTTTTCGGATGTGAAGTGTAGTGTGGTGATTCTTGAGAGGTGCCCTCAGTGTGCCAGCTCTCAGTAAAGAGAAGTGTGAACGTATGCTACTTAGATATTTAGATTCCGCAACAGGTTAAAGTGATTGGCTTGAGGTAGAACTCCCCGATCTTGCCAATCATCATTGACATTATTTGAGCCTCCCTGCAATGGCATTAGAGTAGCATTCCCGATTTGCGCACATCAAGGGCCAATCGCGAAATTGCATCAGTTAACCAGCTTTCAGCAGAGAGAAGGGACAGGAGTAAAATGCTTGTCTGACTTAGGAGTTAGGGTCTATGTATATAGAACTCTCTGATCTCGCCGATCATCAATGGCATCATAAAGGTTCTTGCATTTGTTGTATAGGGTAGCATTCACGAATATCAAAGGCCCAATACTTGGGAATGTCAGCCCACGTGCACGTCCTGCATCATTTGCAGCACCTACAAATATCAGACCAATTTGCACGAAGAGACAGTTTGCAGGCATTAAGAAAGGTCAATTGCACTACTATGGACTATGGACCAATAGTTATACCGTTATGCCCCGCTCTCAGTTTTGAAGCAAGGTCAGCACCACGGTCACCACGGTGTTTATCTTTCCAACTGCGCCATGTTTGTGCAACAAGGAGCGCACACTCTCGGAAAGGAGAGGCGTTGCAGCATGCATGGAATTGATCCAAAAAGGAAAGGTAAGCTATCGAGTCCAGCCCTTGGAACAGAGAAGCGTGGTGGCACACTAGGTACCGACCACTTTGCATCACTTCACCGCTGCAACTTCGGAAACGCCCGAAAATCGCCCCACGGGACATGTCATGAGACATGACCACGTCACCCCGGGTGTCACCGGTCGATCGGGAATCGCTGCGGCAAGCGGATTGGATTGAATTCACGAGAAATCGCATGGAATGTCTACTTTTGGTCACTTTTTCTTTGGACATCTCTACTTACCTTAGATGCCTTTCTCATCCTTTCTCTACAAAGCATCACTTTTTAGATAGATGTCACACTTGCGCAACCCTGACGTATGTCTTAAATCGTCCGCCGACTCCGTTCCCCCGCACAACTGCGCAACGGACACGACCATCTCCCATGGTTTCCTAGCACCTGCCACGCTTGAGCCACGCTCGTGCGCTACGGTCCAACACGTATCCCGCACCTTGCCCCGCCTCCACAGCTCTTCAGGCACCAGCTTTTCACAACTCGGACGCTTTCTCTTCGACGCTTTCGTGGATCTTTCTTATGATTCAGTTGTATAACATAAGAGGAACAGCGGTTGTCTGCTTGGTAACAACGGGATCAACCAGAAAGTCAAGCCGCAACCGGTGACCGGACGCTGTGGTAGGTCTCACCTGGCTTCACTCCACGAGGCGGGGAAGAAAAAATGACCCGCTCGGTCAACCGCTCGGTCCACAGAACCCCTCGGGTTCTGTTCAGGTGAAGTGCCCTACCACAACCCGTACAAAGAGCCGCCTGGATGCAACCTGTGTGTTCTGTTGCGAGAATCCCATCAGAAGGATTCAGAAGGCTGAATGAGGCTGAATGAGACAGCATGTGTCGTGACAGTGAGGCTTCAGCAACATCGTATGGCTGTTCGCTTTCTTGTTTGTTTTGTGCTCTAAGGTTGGGTTGTGCCTTCTCATCCGCTATGACCTGACGGTAGTCAGCTGTCTGATTCCCTTGCATGTAGTGCTGAGGTGTAACAGTTGCCAGACAGATTTTGAAACTCTAAATCAAAGACATCCACCCTGGGTCCTTGAGTCCTTTACCCTCTGGGAACAAACGTTTCAACAATTTCAAAATCTGGCACTATTCAAACTGCAGCTCCATACAAAAATCATCAACCATCGCTGTTAAAATGGAGTGCCCACCAAGACTGTTTCACAGTCTTTTGGTTTATTTGCGACTGGAGATATTCCTGTATAGTTGTCTTGAGTATTGGCTGCTGAGCAAGTGGAGTACTGGATACTTCGGATAGTATTGAATAGCAAATTATGCGCTGGTGGACTCAGCTTTTTTTTGCTTTCCCAAAGTCCAGGAGGCAGGTGGCAGAATTACTGTACATGTCAGCGTGCGGGGAACCTGTGTGGGCCTTTACTGCTCAGCTCAGCTTCACTGAAATGCAAAATCACACGATGTGAGGTGCAGACTTTCAGTAAAGCAAATTGCCCACTTGCGACAGGCAAATATGTCACGATGGCACACCATTTCACATCATCAGTTCAGAAGTGCATGAAGCTCTACCAGCCGTTGTTTCTAGCAGTGATATCCTAGTTTCTCTCTCAGATGCTTCATACAAAGAGACAAAAAGCATGTGTTTACTTCGATTATTGCCCAACCGGCAGATTGTTGGCATGAAGCGTGCCAACAGCCATGGATCTTGAAGGCTACGGAGAGTTCACCGGTGTCTCGGAGGACGAGGATGACGACATTGCACGCTTTGAGAGGCAGTGTGCAGAGCGTGCCAGAGCCGAGGGGGAGCTGCCAGAGGAGGGTTCTGAGGAGGAGGATGAGCAAATTAGAAAGAACCGCCTCATGGGTGGAAGGAAAGATAGTGGACAGCCTCAAGATCCCAGTGAATGGCAGGAAAAATGCGAACTTTTACAGGATAAGCTGGGAAGGCGAGAAGCTGAGCTTGCTCAGGTCTCTTGGCTCAAGAATTATGTTTCTGTTGCCGGATTGCTTTGTTCCGATGCTCTTGTGTCTAGTGACTAGTGAATAGCTTTTTTGGTTATCTCGCAGTCCAAGCCAACTTATGTACAGTAACTGTCCCGGTTTTTCAGCTATCAAACGCTCCAACATATACAAATATATAATATATAAACGTATATACGTATAAAGCTAGATACATATTGTTTTCCACGTAGCCTGTATATATATAATATATAATATATATAATATCATGTGAGTGGGCTTTCCGGATATTTCTTGAAGCAAACCCTCCAAAACGGAAACTGGCGGAGACCAACGGAAACTGTTGCTGACCTAAGGTCAAGGCTGATTTGGAGATGCTTCGAAGTGATGGTCTTGGCCCAGACGATCCGCAGACGGCATTGAAGCAACGACTCCTGGAGCTGACGAAGAAGAACCGACGGCTGCAGGCCGAAAGCGAAGCGCGCGGGGTCCGTGCCGAAAGTGAGCATCAATGAGATGTGTTGTGACCAACGTTGAGTTGGGTGAAATTTCTTGTGAAACCACACTTTCACCATTTGGAGCCATGAATCAAAGTCAGCGACTTTGCTTGTGTGCAATCTGTTTGCAACACACTGAGTGCTTGGACTGAGCAGGTGACTGTAGAGGGACAGCGAGTCCGAGTCAAAGAGTTGGAAAACGAAGTGAAGAAGCCGAAGGAGGAAGCAAAGAAACAGGCAGAGGAGCATAGACATGCATAGACATGCATAGACCATTCAGACACTCGGATGCTGACCATATCTCACTATATACGACTACTCAGCAGTGAATATTTTCCTCAATTTGAGCCACTGGCCTTGTTTGCTTGGAGGAGATGATCATGCAGAACGCTGCCCTCCTCTATGGCGAGGCTGGGAACATGGAGGCGCAGCTGCTCCTCGAGCCCACATGTCCAAGTTGTTTCAACATGTTTCAACAATCTCTTGGCATTTTCCCACTGTGGAGAACTGAATTCACAATGGAATGCGAGATGAACACCTCAATGTTTCTTCTCTCAAGGACTGGAAGAAGAAGTACCTCACAGCTTCGAACCAGCTTCAACAAGCCGCTCAGTGAAGAGTTTAAAGAAGTTGATTCCAATCAGCATGGCAAGGGTGCAAGGGCGCTAGATTCCCTGGAGTATGTTGCATTGACAATGTGCCAATAGATCGTGGTTGTTGCCTTTCAATCGGCAAACAGCACTGTACACGCTTTTATCGGTGAAGATTTGTTACTACAGCTTACAGTCTTACAGTGGTTTCAGAGTAGATGGCACAAACCCAAAGATGTCTTTTAGATGGGGATCCGGGATCCATATAAACCATTTTTTTGGGATTGTGCAATCTATTCATCTATTCTGAAACCACTATATTTGAGCTGTTCTTTTTGGTGAGAATGCTGTGCACCGATCTGCTGGACTGAAATCTGCAACGATCAGCCGTGGGGGGACGCACAAGATGTGCTTGGGAGACCGCAAGACCAGAGATTTGCTTGCCCAGCTTCAACAAGGAGTCTTTGCAAACTACCTGAATGCAACAAACAACTCCAATACACTCCAATGATGGGGTGTCCATTGCGCAGTGGGCGCATAGACCTTGTTACTAGTACTGGTAGCTTCTAGCTACTAGTAACTAGTAGCGATGCCCTTGATACTAGTCGCGATGCCATATATGGCTTGATGTTGCGCAAGCTCATGTACTTTCTTTGCGGCTTAACATGAGGACTCATGAGGACACTCATGGGTTGCCTTCAAGATTAGGAATGAGGACACTCCTTGGCCTACAGTTCTGCGTACTCAACCCTTTTGCGGGGAAACTCATCTTGGATGCGCGGATTGATTGTTTTTCTTTGCGCGCATAGACAGTTGAGTTAGTGCGTTATGTAAGCCTTTGAGCCGCTTAAACTGAACTGCATCTCTACTTCTAAGGTTCGGCACGAGCTGCAAGAGCTTCGGGTACTGGTTCAGAAGCAGAAGAAGGTGCCCATTGGCGCGCAGGGATGTGAATCAATGGGGTGAGTAACGGTCTCAACCGTGAGGAGGTGCTTCCTCCTGCGCAGTGGGTCCCCCGTACTACCTCGGTCCACAGTGGGACGTCACGAACCTCGGAAAGGACAGGAGAAAAACAGCAGAGATTCTGGCCTCGTGTGGCCAAGATTGAATGACAATATTGTTTGGAATACAGAACCAATCGAGATTCTTTGTTGTCAAATTTTGGCACTTTTCACTTTTGACTTTGCCAATCTCTGTTTCATGTATGTGTTTTTCTCTTCTGAAATCCTTTGACTCGGCGGACCCAGCGAGCCCCAGTGGGACCCAGCGGGACGCATTCGGCGAATGCAGCGACCCAGTAGCCCCAGGTGCTTCTGAAAGAACTTGGTGGGGAGGATTGCATTCAGCAGGCGATGTGTGCGTACTACAACTACAACGCTGAAGTCGTTGTCATTGTGGCCTGTTGCCATAGGAACATGACAGTTAGTGTAGTGCTGATGGCACAACCTGCCCAGGATGCAGGTGAGTGTGAGGATGTAGTGCTGAACGTGCGCAAGTGAGTGCGCCGCCCCTCTGGACCCCAGTTATTCACTGTTATTCATCAGTCTGCACAGCCACTGTTTGTTGTGTCCCCAACCTTGCCGCTGAAGTTGTTTTGGAGCTTTGTATTTTCTATTCTATTGGAACACGAACCTCCCTATCTTGCTTGTTGTTCGTGCAGCTCAGGAAGCGTATTATAGTTTGTGAAATAGCACGTTTGACCTTCGGACACGTGTCACCGTTCTTTACAGGCCTTGAGCTTTCTGGCTCTACGGAAGGAAACAGTGTGCGAGTTTCTTGCACCCCGGTCTTTCTAGGGTGTTTAGCGCTCCGCTGTTTACAGTGGCAGCGGAGCCTTAGGGTTCCGGGCCATTCCTGCGCGGCTTCGCTTTGCTTCGCTTTGCTTCGCTTTGCTTCGCTTTGGTGGCGCTTCTTTGGACTACGCCAGTCCTACGACTTCGACTTGCTGGTCTTTGGCCTTGGCTTGAGGTCACGGACCGTGGACGACGACTTCTCGGTGGACTTCTTTGCCCTTGTGGACGACTTCGCCCTGACGGTGGACTACGACCGAACTTTTTCACGGAGGTCTCTCTGACGGACTTCCTTGGTGGCGTAAAGCCTCTCCCTCGGCCAAGGGATTGAAGGTTGCCTGGTGGTGGACTACATCCTCGTGGAGTTCATGACGGACGAGAAGAAAGATGACCGGGGCTTTGACAGCTACATACCGGTCTGGGACGGCAGAAGCGAGACCCTGAGAGAGTTCAAGAAGGCCGTCCAATGGTGGTTGCACTCGATCGACCTGGAGAAGACCACCTCCTACAACTTGGCCGCACGCTTTGCTATGCGGCAGAAGGGCAGCGCAAAGTTGAGAGCTTTGGAGTTTGATCCAAAAGAGCTCGAGTACATCCCCGCCGAGAAGGTGAAGGATGATGAGACTGATGAGATGGTTGAGTTGACACCTGCGGTCTACGAATCAACTTCGTCCGGAATGACAACTTCAAGGACAGCTGGAACACTCAGAGTCATGTTCACAGTCAAGTGGCAGTTCAAGGAGAGACCTGGCTTGAGGTCAAGCAAGAGTGGATTGAACATGCGTATCCACCATGGTCATGGGAGCAGTTCTGCTTTCCGATAAGGACTGCAGTCATGCTTGGACAACAAGGCTCACATGATTGTCAGAATGGTGACAAGTTCTTCGTTGGCTTCGACACCATGAACCAGAAGGGCATGCTTCCTGTGGATAGCACAGTGCCGATCTCTTCCTGGATTCGCACCGCTGAGGATGGTTGGATGATGCTGGAAGAAAAGGTACTTCATCGAGACCGAGCTGTTCATCGAGTGCCTCATGGAAGCTTGATCAAGTCGGTGGAGGTCTACGTGCAGCTTCATCACAACACTCTTCGAGAAGATCCTCACCGGTACCCCATGGTTGGAGAGCTCTACACGGAGACTGAACCGGTGTCGGCCTGTGCGATTCGAAAGGGTCATGCGATCATGCAGTCTATCACCCTGAAGACTGGCTACGACTTGCTGAAGGTCAGTGATCGCAGAAGGGCAAACATGGACATCAGGAACAACAGACCTTTCTGCCTGATGATCGCCTTTCCTTGCAGTGTCTGGTCCAACCTCATCAATATGACGACAAGAGGTGACCCAGTGAAGATAGCCCGACTTGCCAAGAGAAGGAAGTACGAGAAGATCTTGGTGGAGTATGCTGCGATGAAGGCTGTGGAACAGGTCCTCTCCGGGAACCACTTCATCCTGGAGAACCCGGCGACTTCAGCGGCCTGGCGATTGGTTGGCAAGCTTCGCAAGCTGGTTGAGAATGCGAAGGACCTGGACCTCTACCACGTCCGAGTCGACCAATGTGGTTTCGGGTTGCGAGGAGCTGGAGGAGGACTTCACTACAAGCCGACCACCTTCCTCACGTCTTCGAAGGAGGTTGCAGCGGCTTTGGATGGGTTCAGGTGCGACCGACGACATCACCATGAAGCAGTGATTGGTGGCAACAAGGTGACACGCCTTGCAGGTCACTATCCACCCCTTCTCGCTGAGACTCTGCTTGAAGGCATCGAGCGAGAATGGTCAATGCTTGAGATCAATGTCATTGAGGAGTTGGACGACGAGAACACAGGCGGTGGAGATGATGGTGGTGAAGATGATGGAGGACCCCCCGGACCTTCAGATGAACCGGATGGCCATGATGGAGACGACCATGATGGCAATGGGGACCACTTCATGCTGGACAACCCGGCCGAGCAGGAAGATGAAGATGATGATGTGGTGGTGTCTGGTGATGACAAGCCCACAGCAGGTGATCGCAAGATGGCAAAGCATCTTCATGAGGTGACAGGCCATTCGACCCCCACTTCGCCTGGCTCGAGCTTTGCTGATCACAGGAGCAGATCCGACGTTGATCAAAGCTGCAAAAGAGCATAAGTGCGAGATCTGCCATGAGACCAAGCGGCCTGGAACCAGAAGGCCAGCCAGCTTACCTCGTGTCAGGAACTTCAACGACCACCTCTATGCCGACCTGATCTCCGTCCATGACAGCCATGGTGAGACTTACTGGATTGCTCACGCCGTTGATGCCGCTTCCAGGTACCAAGTTGCCAAGGTGCTGGAAGAGAAGAGCGGGCTGGAAGTCATCAAGTTCTTCCAGGAGTGCTGGTTCAACACTCTCGGCATCCCCGCACAGATCACCACTGATCTTGGCAGAGAGTTTACGGCGGCAGTGGTTCAGCGCACCATGGACATGCACGACGTGGTTTTGCACCATGTGCCGGTGGGCGCGCCATGGCAAAACGGCATAGCAGAGAGAGCCGGAGGCTCACTGAAGGCAGTTCTCCGGGCCACAATCCACGAGGCGGTGGCAGCTGGCATGGAGGACATGCGGACCGCTCTGGCTTCAGCTCTGGAGGCCGTCAACAATGACGTGGATGGCACAGGGTTCTCTCCGAGTCAGATGGTTCTTGGACGACAACCTCGACTTGTTGGAGAAGCTGGTCCTTCCGACCTTCGAACCCGACTTGCTGCTCACAGCATGGCCTTGGAGACCCCCTCGTTCTCACGTTTGGTGGCGATGAGAGAAGTGGCTAAGCTGGCCATGGTACGACTTCACTACAGCCGAGCTTTGATGAGCGCTTCAGTTGCACGTGCTCGCAACCAGGTGGATTGGAACCAGTTTTCTGTTGGAGACGTGGTCTACTTCTACCGCGAGCAGAAGCCCACAAGCAAGAAGATGAAGATCGTGCAGAGAAGACGGCTGGAGTTGAAGAAGTGGCACGGTCCTGGAGTTCTTTTGTCTTTGGAAGGCAAAGAGATGCCCAATGCAGGGTATGTTGCCTACTGTGGCAATGTGACCAAGGTTGCCATGGAACACCTTCGTCATGCAAGTGCTTTGGAAAGACTCGTTGCCACAGATTGGGATGCAATAGTTGAGGATGTCATCAACGCTGTGGATGACAAACGCCCTGACGACCAACAAGAAGGACTTGGAATTGGTGAGGAGAGCTATGAGCCAACAGAGCCGCCGGAGGAGCCTCCAGAAGTTCAGCCTGAGCTTCTTGGACAGACACCAGCGCCTGCGGTGGTTTATCCTTTCCCTTACCCAGCGATGATGCCTGCTTTGGTGCAAAGTGCCCCTTGTTCGAGCTTTTCATCGCTTCCTTCGAGATTGGCATCAAGGAGACAGTCAACAGAACAGGCTGGTGGACCTTTGCCTACGGTTGGTGAGGACGCTTCACCAGAGCCTGATGGTCGACGACCTAGACTTCTTGGAGGAGATCCGACTTCCGACCAAGGAGCAGCTGGTGATGACCTACAACCTCTTCTACCTCAACAGGCAACAGATGATGGACTTCCTCATGCACAAGTTCTTCCAGTCGCGGATGGTGGTGCAGCTGCAGCTGAACTACAACCTGGAGTCCCTGTAGGAGAGACGCCTGCAGAATATGGACGGCGGCTGGAGCAAGCACAAGGTGCTGTGAGAAGAGCACTGTCCGAGCCAACGGACGACAGACAGGCCGTTCGGAGGAGGATCATGGAGCCGCTTCGACTTGGTGGCAAAGCGATCGATGTCCTCTCAGACATCCACTTCTTGAGGCAGTCAACAAAGCCCAGGAGGACATAGAGAACGGACATCATGGAGAAGATGATCACGGCAGTTGGGATGGAAGATGGTCTCGCCCGACCGCACGACAGGTTGAGATCGTCAAGAAGCTTCAGATGACATGGCCTAGTGGTTCTAACAGTGACACTAAGGAGGCTTTGACTACTGCTGCTCACGGACGTGAACTCAGATGGTCAGAGATGGACGAGGACACAAGACAGGCATTCCGCGTTGCAGCGGCTGACCAGTGGAACAAGTGGCTGGAGAATGAGGCTGTGACTGTCTTGAGCCCTGAGGAGTCCAGAGCAGTGGAACAGGAGCTGGAGATGAAAGGCGAGCTTGAGCGGATCATGAACCCCCGCTTCATCTTGGTGGACAAGAACTCCAAGCTTCGCTCTCCAGAGTGTCCGCTTCCTTTGAAGGCCAATGCACGAATCATCGTGCCAGGATTTCGTGATCTTGCCAACCTGAATGGTGAACTTCGAACTGACTCACCGACAGCTTCAAGGATAGCACAGCATGTGGTGTGTTGTGTTTGTGCCTCGAACCCTGACTGGTGTTTGTTGAGCGCTGATGTCAGAGCAGCTTTCCTCAAAGGAGATCCCTACGTGCAGAGACAGCTGTACATCCGTGGGACCAACCCCAAGACAGGTCCGACGATTGGGATTCCGACTGGTTGCGTTGCCAAAGTTCTCAAAGGCATTTTTGGCCTAGCTGATGCCCCAAGAGAGTGGTACTTGCGGCTGGCTCGAGAGCTTGGTGAGGATGGCTGGGTTCGCTCGAGCTTGGACTTGGCATTGTGGCTGAGGTTTGACACAACAGGTGCTTTGACAGGCATCTTGGCAGCTCATGTAGTGGCGACAAGGAGGCAGAAGCTTCGCTGAGCCGGTTGGGAGAAAGGATCGGTTTTGGATCCATGGACGCTCCGCCATTCAGCTGGTGTGGCAAAACCTTCACTCGTGAACCTGACGGAAGAGTCACTTTGACCATGGTAAGGTACCACGAGAACCTCACTGGAATGCAGATGCCTCGACAAAGGCGCAAAGATGTGGCAAGCTTGCTGAATGCCGCAGAAGTGAGGAAGCTCAAAGGTGTTTTGGGTGCCTTGCAGTGGCTTGTTGCGCAGTTGAGATTCGACCTCTCTTTCTCTGTAAGCAGTCTTCAGTCAGAGCGACCGACTGTTGGCACAGTGCTTCGAGTGAACAAGGTGGTCGAGGAGGCAAAGAGGACCAAGGACTTCACCTTGCAGTTCAAGCCGGTCAGCTACACCCATGGTGGCATCATGGTTGTGACCGATGCTGCGCTCGGCAATGTGACCGCCAATGGTTGCACAGACGCCCTGCCGACCGAGAAGGTGCACTCGCAGTCATGCTACGCAGTGTTGCTGGCAGACGAGCAGATGATGTTGGGAAAGCCTGGCAGCTTCAACTTGCTCGACTTCAGGAGTCACCGACTTCAGAGAGTGTGTCGCAGTTCCTACGCGGCAGAAACGCTTGGCGCTGAAGAAGGTCTAGACGCAGGAGAACTGTGTCGCGGCTTCATAGCAGAGCTGCGCAAAATCGACATCGCATGTCGAACAGGACATTTCAATGTCTGCGCTGTGAGCCTCATCGGAGTCACCGATGCGAGAGATACCTATGATCGTCTTACACAAGACACTGGGTTTGGCTCGCAGAAAAGCCTTGCTTTCAGCCTTGCAGCTCTTCGTCAACAACTTCGACGGCCATGTACTGGCTACAGGTGGACAAGCACCACAAACCTCTTTGTGGATGCTGGCACGAAGCTGATGGACAACTCAGCGCTGCGAGAGACTTTGCAGAAGGGAGAGTGGTCAATCGAGTACAACGAGAGTTTCACCAAACAGACCAAGAAGGCTGTGAAGACAGCGGTCGCTGTGTTTGAGATGCCCGGACGGGCAGTTCAGGACAGAGACAAGTCCTTGATGGAGCACGTCCTCATGGTGGCAGAGCAGAATGGGTGGCACTACAGGGATGGAACTCCTATCCACGTGGCCCATGGAGCGATGAGTTACCGAAGCCCAGCTCCTCGGTTTGATGTGAACAAGCATCCGTACCGGACTTCGGTTGCCTGCTACAAGAGGACTGACGGCAAGCACGAATGGAGGATCCTTGAGGAGAAAGCCGACCTGGTGAAGATGGCAAACCTCCAGGCGAAGATTGGTGATCGATGCCATAGGCTGGTATCCTTCTTTACGTGCTAGAGTCCAAAGGTCACAAGAAATTAGAAGGCGTGTGAAATAGCACGTTTGACCTTTGGACACGTGTCACCGTTCTTTACAGGCCTTGAGCTTTCTGGCTCTACGGAAGGAAACAGTGTGCGAGTTTCTTGCACCCCGGTCTTTCTAGGGTGTTTAGCGCTCCGCTGTTTACATAGTTTATGCCATCCAACCTTTAGCAACGAATCGTCAGTGCATCTTTAATCTTGCGGAGAACTCATTTGCAACCGTGAAACTATCGATGGAGCCCGGTTGGCTGCTGTTTGCACTTGTGACCATCCATCTTCAGTGGCAATTGCTTAGTGATTCCCCAATGTTGATTCCAGTTGCTGCGGCTGGATGAATTCTCAGACAGACTTTGGACTGCTATGATGTCACTGAGTCTGCTGCATATTTACAAGTGTGATTTTTGCAATCGCAAACTTTCTCCACGACTCCACCACTAAGACTAACGTGTAATTCATTACTTTTCCAATCACAACATCGAACGAGTGCCTGTCGTTGTGGAGAGGCAATGGGAGTAGCAGATGACCCGATGGCTTTGCAGTGGAAGGGACGAGCAGCACAAATCGCGGCTCGCACGAAGAGGGCAAACTGATGTTTGAAAGGAATGATTCAATCAATGAACCCAAGTAAATGGAAATGACCTCAAAGCATTTCAGTCAAACAAGCAAATGTAAGGTGTTTTATGGCGGGCTTACCCTCGATGGCCCAAACATCTAAAGATTGTTGTCGTGAACCAGTCAAGAATCCAATGCCTGCCTAAACCTTGAGGCCCCTAGAACTTAGAACTAGTATTAAACAGATTGGCTGAATATGGAACGGTCCTGTTCAACAGATGACGGGGTTGAGGAGAGATCAAGAGGCTTGCTATGAAGATTAGGAGCATGGAAGCTGAGCCACCGCATCTAAACACATGTTTGTGTTGCAGAGAAGGTCACATGTCCGCATTGTTCTCAGTGGTCCCCGCATCAAGGCTCAGCTGCAGCGGCAGGTCAAGGAGCTCAAGGCCATTTGGTCGCCAAGGAACAAACACGGAAGAATAGGAATGGCCTCCAACTCCAACCTAATAGCTATGCATAGCTGCGCAACAACCATCTACTCATCAACCAAGATCCAGGGAAACCTTTTGGAGTATGTGTTGGCCTGCTCACAGCTGGCTCTACTTTTGCATGCCGGCCATAGTGCATACGTATGCACAGGCTATAAGCTCTAAAAGCAAGGTCCAGTGGCATTGTCCCGTTAGAAGATAGCTATATCAGTTGATGTCATAATGTATCCTGACCAGCCTTCCCACCAAGCTCTCTACTGTCACCGTCAGTTGTACGGAATTCCGACTTTCCAGGCAGGCGGCACAAGCACTGCTGGTCAGGCGGGATGGACTTGATACCTCGGTACACGGTTCATGCAAGGCTCTTGGTTGAGAATGCGAACCATGTGGAGCAATACAGCAATACCTCATGCGACTAGCCTTGTGATAGCTTTGTAATGCTTTGTACATGGGAGATGGATCCAGTCTGTGAGGAAGCTGCAAGCACCATCCCCGCAGCCGCTGCTCCAGTTAAGAGCAAGGCGGCCCACGGTCTGTCGCAGCAGTTTGTTGGGTCGATTTAGAGCGAAGGAACAATGAAGAACAGCAGACTCAGCAGACAGCAGACAGCTTTTTGTTACTAGCAGCTTCTTGCTACTAATAGCGATGTGCTTGTTGCTAGTAGCGATGCACTTGCTACTAGTAGTGATGCACATGCCACTTCTAATTTCACTTGTTGCCACGCTTCTTGGACTGCCTCTATCGACATCAATGGGACACGAGCTGCTGTGGAGTAGCAAGAACGAGAAACAGGTTTCCAATTGAATATTGTTGCGATATGTTTTCTACTTCTGAACTTTGGAGGGAGTTGATGGTTCTGGTGATTGCCCTGATCTCGCAGCTTTAGGAACCAAGAATGTAGCATCTTAGAGTCATACAGGCTTACCCTTTTCTCATTACAAAGCACAAATGCAGAGCTATTGGTTGGAGGCGGTTGGCCAAGCTGCTGACAAGCGCAGGGAAGAGTTCGAACGTCTGCAGGACATGGGGAAGTTTGCAGGGTCGCCAATGCAAGGATACTGTGAAACAAGATGAAACAAGTCATTTGACACAGAAACACCTTTTTTGTGGTTCGGATGTGTTCCTGAGATTGCTTAGGAAAGTGCTATGTGCAGTTCGGCCGAACGGCCAGGAAGAGGTGGAGCGGCTCCGCACAGAGCAGACTGAGGCGCCCAGCATGACACATTGCAAGACTGCTTCGATTGGATCTGGAAGCAACTGGCACCTAGAATATGGCACAGGTGGGCTCGCTGTAGAACTTGTTCCGAAAGAGCTCAAAGGAAAATGACCATGGACTTCACTGGGAAGAAAGAAGAAAAGAGGTTAAGGGCCTCTTTGGTAAGGCCCTTACTCTTTTTGTTCTTCCTTTTTCTTATTTATATAACCTTTTTATATGCATCGATTTCCACCACTCAGAGTCTCAGAGCATCCAAGAGCGTCAGTTCTGACTCGTTCGGGCTGCCCCGCTCAGTGCAAGCAGAAGCGCGAAGCATTGAGGCCGGGTGGTGGAAAGTATCTCCACCATGGTGGTGGTATCTTTGTAGTTCAAGCACCTCCTAGTCGCGCCATAGTGCAATGGGCACAAGTACTGGGTGTAACCGCTCATGACGCCACTTAGTGATGACCGGATTATATGGAGACTTGATCCTTAAAAACTCCACAAACGCCTGGCAGCGGTTCATCAGTTGCTGCCATTTCCAATCTATGATGACCTCCACAAGCACCCATGAGGTCCCGCTCGTGCCTGTTGGAGACGCAATTGAGAGACATGAAGGCACGAGATTGCTGACTGTGGATCACAATATATCAGCTGCATGTCTGATACCATTGAGTACCTGCGGGAAAACATGTCGAATGGAATTTTCCCTTGATAGCTGTGACAGCTGTGTTTGACTTCTTATCTCCTGTTGGTACGGACCGCCGTTATCAATAGAAGAGGTAGGTCAGTATTCCCTGCCCTAGGCCAATGTGCAATTCCTTCTGCGTAAGAGTGATGACGATGATGCTTTGGTGGCCCTGCTTCGGAAACAGCTGGGGCGAGAGGCGTGGTGCCCGAAACCAGCGTGCAGAGTAGCCCAAGAACTTTTCGTCTACTATGAGACACTGTGACCGAAGTATTGTCTGACATGTGTATGTTATATTGATGAATAGTGATGACATGTATATTTATAATATATATATACACATACGTATGCACTTGTGAATCTTATCAACTCGAAGACCAGGGCTAATCAACCTGCAGACTAGAATTCCTAGATCGCTCGATTCCCCCTTGCAGGTTGCTAGTTGGATGCGATGAAGGGTGTTTTCCTGGAGAACTGTCATCCAACCACTCTGTTGGGCACACTAAAGCGATCTAAAGTGACAAACCACGCATTCTTTCAATAAGCCGAAACCACCCGAAGGCATTCAAGGAGGTTTGTCATTCTTCAGAGTTTGCTACATGTTAGCGAGACAGCCAGTGCAAACGTCCTTTATATACTTAATGAGAAAACTCAGCGTAACAAGATTCGAACACAGGAAGCTGGCGTCAATGGAGATGGAGGACAGGCGCCCTTGGAGGCTGATAGAACTTACCAACTGTGCAATGAATACATATGTATATATATATATGTAGATAAGCGTTAATTACAATATGACATATTGCACAATTTGTATATATATAATATATAACATAGAAATATTTGGGCAGGTGCTGCTGCTATATTGTGACTTTGTTAGCAGGATGGCCACACCATTCCAAAACATACCTTGGCTTTGGATGCCCAGCAAAGTGCTATGGGGGTATGTCGGTCTTTTGGACAAGATGATGCTTTCTGTTGGTGACTGAGTCTGAGAGTCTGAGTAGCACAAGAAAGGGAACTGCTGATTCCAGCCACACCTTGACTATTCCGAGGAGATGAGCTGAATTACCTGCGGCTGCAAAATGGCGAGTTGCAGGCAGTTTCTACCCACTGAAAAGTGTAGTCCATCCCTTCTTGTAGGCTAGCTAGCTTGTTGCGGTCACGAACTGCAACTGCCTTGGGGGGCCTGCCGAAACAGAGGGGTGGACATGCTGTTGAGGCCCAGTTGGAGAGACAAGCACAGATTGTGCTGCAGCTGAGGCAAGGGAACCTCAGGGACACGTGTGGAATCACAATTCGTTTCATAGACAATGCCGGTGTGATTCTTGCCAGAAACATGCCCATGCCGAATGTTCGACCCAAGGCAAAAGGCTTTGGCGGCCAGCTGCGAAAATGGCTCGGTACCTTTGGGGCCGAAGACTCTGGGACAGTTAGGTTGGAGGCCATTGCTATTAGGTTCCTGTTGCTATTGGGTTGGAGGCCATCGCTCTTATTTATCCCTTGAGCTTCGCCTAAGGAGTGTGGAAGCCTCCGTGACCGAGCGCCAGTTGCTGGATCGCGTGCGCTTTCTGGAGGCGAAGGGAGAATAGACGACGTGGAACAAATTTGAGTGACAGTTGAAAGTTGGAGGGCATCGTAAAACATTGCAGAAAACACTGTGTCGTTTTCCGGCTACAAATAGGCGGACTTTACCAGCTTAGTTAGGCACGAATGTGGAAACGTCAATCTTTGCTGGCCCAATTCTTGGCAATTCGTGGGAGTTCAAAGTGCAGGGTCTCCACTGGCATGTCCAACACACAGTCTCGACTGAGTCTCCCAGAGCCGATCCACGCCGTTCCCGTCGTCCACCTCGCAGGCGGAGAATGCGAAACAAGCTGAGCAGGCTCGACGACGAGGGTCATGCATGAGAGATCCCGAGAGCATGCACGACGACGGCTCATTGGTGTGATGTTCAGTTGCCTCAGTATGGATCCTCTGGGTGGTCAGAACGATTGGTCACCCGGAGTAACAATGAAAACACTCAGGTGCAGCTGTTGAAAGGCCGTGGCGTGTGGCGCCTCAGCTTTGTGACTGACCGGTTTGCCAGGACAGAGGCCTTCGGACAACACTTGTTCTCAGGAAATGAGAACCCAATATGATTTGAGGGGCCTTGAGATATGCCGTATCATGATGCATCACGCTTTTGTTTTTTGATGTTTTTTGTTACCCTTGTTGTATCGACAAGCCCCAGCAGATCCAGCGAACGCTTAAGACTTTTTGGCCAAGGCCGGCTACCAAGACTTTTCCACAAGTCTGAAGGAGCAGCTCAGGCAGGTAGATTTGGCACATACAAGGAGGATCCATTTACAATAAGATATTCCGTCTTCCGACTTCGCCTTCCAATAGACTTTAACAAGTTGACGTGAGTTGCTGTGGACAAAATTGGACAAATAATTGCAGACGTTCCTTTCGTGAATGCCTTCGTTTCGCTTGACGTTCAGCCTGCAGAGGCACGAGCCCGGCGACACGCCCAGCGAAAGAGGGTCACGCCACATGAGACAGGCAGGGTGGGCTGGGTTGAGCCAAGCAATGTGTGCCTAGTAACAAGATGCATTGCTACTAGGAGCAAGAAGCTACTAGTAGCTCCTGGCATTACTACTGGTAACAAGAAGCTACTAGTATCAAGAAACTACTAGACAACCTGCCACTAGCGAACGGATGCAGGATAGCTCTCACTTCTTCAAGGACTAAGGAACCTTTTTGTGCCGCCCTAAAGGTGGCGGGGGAGGGAGCTTCCTTGAAGAAGCTCGCACTATTCATGTGGTTCCTAGACTTCAACAGAATAGCTGTTGTTGTTGCTGCTGCTACTAGCTACTGCTTCAACGAAGGAACCACTGATGAACCGAAGGTGCCCCCCAAAAGTGCATGCACAATATGAAGGCACTGGCACAAAGCTCCACCCTTTTGGGATCCTGGAGCACTTTAGACGTTCGCTTGTCACTCACGCTCCAGAGTGGTCGGTGCGGTGCAGGGCAGCAGACCCTACTCTGAGTCTGGATCCGAGGCTGCACTGACCAGAATGGGTGTGGGGTGAGTGATCCAGGGAGATTTCTGGCGGAACCTACTACGTGCGGAAGCGAAAATCGTGATTCGCTTTCAGCTTCTTGGGGGACCAGCGAATGTCAGAGTCCGAGTTCGAGTCCATCGAATCCGTCTTTTGAGCCGATCGAGGTTTTGGTCAAAAAGGTGGATCCCAATGACCCGGTGGCGTTCCCCGCCTGGTCTAGACATGCAGTTCTCTCCAGGCCTAGTTCTTCATCTTCAAGGCAGCATGTCTTTAGCAGTCCTGTGACTTGTCAACAAGATCAATGATTCTACCAAGCATTTTTTGTTGGCTATATAATCGATATCCGATATCTGGTCAATTCTTGGTCAACACACGCTTGAGTAGTTCAGAGTGAAGGACTTTTCGTGCATGTCATCGGGTTGGTTTTGGTGCGAGAGAGAGAGAGAGTTTTGGGGGCCGAAGCACTAGCTACAGAAGGATACTGAATAGACAAGAGCCCAAAGAAGTCATCTGAACATCCTAAAACTGTATGGCCCAGGCCGTGCCAGGTTCCGTTTCACTTCAATTCAGACGAGCAAATAGTTTCTTGCATCAACATTGCAAGAGCCAGCAGCTTGTGCATGATCAATAGCCAAAAGAAAAGATTGCACGTGATTCTTCTCGGATTCTTCTTTTCGCTTGGATTTCGACCGCTTTGGGTCTGGGTGTATGGAGGTGTATATGGTGTGGCGAAGCGACCTTGTAGTGTCATCGAATGTATTGGTAATTGCACTTTGTCACCAGTATACAGTATGCTCCATAACTGCCAGAGGGTACGTGAGAGAGTTCCTTTATTTTACCACATTCAGGCAAGGCGCACATGGAACAGGGGCTCACTGATGTCATCGTGATGCACTAGTCAGAATGCCAAGCAGCTCAGCGAACGTGTGATAATTCATGAGAATGTGCATGGATAGGTCATGCACGTTGGATCATCATCTTGGCAGTTCTTGGCGTTCCAGGCAAATCACGTTGGATCATCATCTTTCATCCTCCTTTGTCTGAGTCTTTGGTTCCATTGGAGTTGCCGTCGGGCAAAGTGCGTGCAGGCGCCCTGCCTGTTTTGCATGTCAGATGTCCGAGGTTCATCACGCTAAAATACTTACTCTCTCCAGAACTTACGAGGAAGTAGTTTTCCTATCATATTCCTCGTTTGGCATTTTACTGGAGGGTCTGCATGTCATATTTTTGTGTTGGGAATGACTTCTTCCTCGTAAGTTTGACATGCTAAACTTGCTAGACTTGCTCGACTTCCTCGTTTGTCAGTGCAAAAACTAGAATGTCCAGAAGCATCTAGTAAACAAAGAAGCCTACCATTTTTTTTGTGATAGTTTGGTAAACTTCCTCGTTAAACAGGATCAAGAGAGACAGAGAGAGAGAGAGAGGGGTTCTTTAAATTCCTCGTTAGACTTGCACTTGAGGGCTTCGAGAGCTTCTTCGTTTGTTCTAATCAAAGCAGGTATCTGTGAATTCACGCCCAGCCATTTGGTTTACCAGGAAGTGTTTTAAAGCAAGTCCCAATCAACCTAACCAGGAAGTCACTTTGCAGCCTAACCAAGAAGTTGTGATTTTGCTTGTATTCTTCCTTGTTAGCTCCCAACCTATGAAAATGCAAAGCAACCCTGGCTTACCTGGAAGTGTATCTCCCTGGTCATTTTCCAGCAATCCCCGGGGATGCAGGGGCCCTCGGCTTCCTCGGTAGTGAGCATTGCATTTTCTGGCCTTCCTCGTTTGCTGATTGGGCTTACCTGTTTGTGGTCTATTCCCAGGGGGATTTACATGGTCACCAACTTCCTCGTAAACAGCGTCCTCGCCGAGATTTGCTTCCTCGTAAGTTCTGAGGAGTGTACTTTGACTACTGTACTTTGACCTGAGGATCAGTCAATGTTTCATTTGGATGCCATGGGCTTCAGATAAATCAGTGACCTGAGGATCAATCAACAGTTGTCGTTTCTATTACTGTTCTGAACCAAGGGAAAAGGGATAAAAAGGGAGAAATAAGATGAACAAAGATGACATATTCATAACATGTCCTTAGAGTATGCACACGACAAGACGCCGGTTATGTTGGTTGCATTCACGTTTGAAGTGGACGCGTCACGGCTTATGAGCCGTGGTCGGCACTGCACGGCTTTGATGATGCAACTACTGACTTGACACCAACATCTGGCAACCAATGTTGGTTTGGTTGTTTTGAGCCAGTCACCCATCAATGACGCTGTATATATATATATATAGACTATCTCAGTTTTCTCGGCGCAGGCCAATGGCCCGGCGTTTTTGCAGCCCATGGATGCTGCCGGTGGCGCTAGTGCAGGTGCCTCTCAGGAGACAATAGCAGGGTATCAACAAAATGTTCAACAATCGTTTCATTGACTATTTAATAATTTCGTACTGCTCATGTTTACTTTCAGGATTGGCTTTGTGTAGATCACACACACTGACTTTGGGCTCAACACAATTTCAGATGGCCATCTACCAACTAGGGATTATAGTAACTGCACAGTTTGTTGACAGGAAGCCGTCGTCCTAATTTTGGCATGCCTATCCCCGTCGTCCTATGGTCAGGAGTAGATGATGACAAAAGGAGTTCACAGTGTCACAGGGCATTCTTTTTTCTTCCGGACACCAACTCAATTGGTGGGCCGCACAGACTGGGAGGTCACCGAATCGATGGCCATGCGGTCTGGGTTGCGCAGCACCAGCCACAGGCCTTCTTCATGATCACTTTGAGTGGCATTTGGCTTTTCGGCTTCGGTCTGTGTGCCCGGCGCATTGCTTCGGTCTGGAGCATTGTTGCTCCAGTGTTGCTCCAGTGTTGCTCTCAGTGGCTGAAATCAGCCAGGTTTTGGACCTTTATGGTAGTTGAACTGCCCAAGGACTGGGCTGGGACTTCAGGAAACAACATATAGCCTTGAGAATGCCTGTCGTACACCCGTTGGATAGAGCCTGGGCTGACATTGAAGGGATAGTTCACTGAGCACTAAAAGCCGACAGAGACCTTTTCAAAATGCAGGTAGCGTCAGACTTGTGGTTCTTGTGTTTTTTTAGTTTATTAGGGCATATTATGTACAATATAATTATATTGATTGCCAATCCCAGCTGGCATCTTACCTTGTGACAACATGTGACAACTGGTAAATCATTGCAAAGTGAGCTGATTGATACAGCAGCATTTGAGGGGTACGGATCTGCCGTCAATACAGGTGATGTGTGTCTCCGCCTTCACTCTTCAGAACTGACCAAAAACCCGAAGGTATGAAGGGCCCAAAACATGAAGGGTGAATGGAATTCCAAGTGTTTTTGTTTGACGTGTTTGTTCCATGTCTAGCTTCTTGATCTGAAAGGAATTCCACATGTTCTTGTGACATGATGTTGCGGCAGTCATCTCCTGTGGGGCCCAAACTCGGGTACAATTGAGGCGACACCCCCAGCGATGCTTCAGCGATACCCTGACCCTGACCATGCCAGTCCACCACTTGAACATGGGTGGGTTTGCACCCAAGAAAGATGTTGCAGTAACAGCTTGGTGAATGCTCTTAGCTGCTTGCAGAGCTCTTCTAATGGCAGCTGAACCGTGCTGTTGCCTTCGACCCGAGGTTTGTTTGTTCATCTCCTTTCAATAGCCTTGGAGTGCTCATGCTCATACATACATTGGTTGGTTGAAACCAGCCTTTGCAAGATAGAAACCAAAGAAAGCCTGCCCTCCTTCCAAGCTGAAGTCTCAAGTTGTCCAAAGCTGGGAAAAGCAATGGGGCCCATTTCTTCCACGCACCCACCGTTCAAATTCTCCATGCCCCTGGAAACACGAAGATGGTCCAGGACCTGGGCCCCTACAGCCAGATGAGCTCGTTGTCAATGTTCCTGCATGGCGCTTTCCCTGTGCCCTTGGAGGCCAACATCAGAAGTTTTTCTGTGTTGTTGCTTCTGTTGCCGTTGCTGTTGCTGTGCTGCTTTTGCTGCTGCTGCTGCTGCTGCTGCTGGTGGTGGTGGTGGTGGTGGTAGATTCTTTTGTTGCCTGCTTTGTGATGCAACCCCTCACTGAGTGAGTGTTGTGATCGACGGTCTTTTCTGGCACATCATCTAAGGGAAAACTTTGGGGGCAGCAACTTTCATTTGATAGGGGAAATTAGGGTTGTGGGCTCACTCTTTGTACCAGCTGGCTTGATGCAGAAGACATTAGACGCTTGTAGTTTTCTTTCGGGACTAAGATGCGAGACACAAACGATGTCAAGTACGAGTTCAAGTTCGACCACGTGTTGATCCTGGTACCAGCCTTAGAGAGGATCCAGACTCGGAGAGGATCGAGGCCACAGAAAGAACCTAATATATATTATATATATATTATACACACACAAATGGACAAATATTACGTTTTGCCAATGCCTGCGGGCTGAACTGACTCAAGAAAGCCGGCCTGTGGGCTCACGCAGGCAGCCCATCAATGTATTTGGGCGGTGTGGCTGTTCTCGTCTTTTGGGGCAATAGAACTCCAGATGTCAAGATGACGGCACAAAACTCACAGGACCTCGCTGGCGCCAAGCTTCGCATGAACTATGACCCTACCCATTTTGTTGTTTGCTCGCTTCAGGGCTGTGGCAGCTCAGAATGGTTGAAGTAAATTCAATAGTTTATATACGGTAAGTTGAAAATTTGAGAAACGACAAAGGTACTGTTTGGATTCAACATGTGGCCGAGGCTAATGTCATGGTGCTTATGATGATGGGCTGGGCACCGACAAGGCGGGACTGGAAGGGACTGGGCGGGCTAGTTGAGGCGTCATTCTTAAAAGGGCAACATGGTATATACCGAAACAAAAGACAAACTGACATACACAAAGAGAGCTACTTGTTTCCTTTTGTCGACTCAAAAGGCTTGATAGTCTCCGTGAAGGTAGAGGTGAAGTAGAGACCTTCAAACAGACGGTTCCGTTCCGGTGCAAGATGATGTTGCCTGCACAACATGAGCAGAAGCAAGGAAGCACAAGAGCACGCACAAAAGCTCCGTTTTCCGATTTCAAAAAAGCAGATTGTAGCTACATACAATTAATGTCGAATTCTCAGATTCAGCTTCCGTCTAGGTATTGAAGTACATCCAGTAGACATACATACACAAGTCATACATGAGTTAAGCCTTTTGCTCGAAGAGAACATGTCGAGCACCCAACGTGTACTCGTGTACTTGGCTACAACTGGAGAGCTTCATTCAACCAAAGTTCTTCCTTGTGATTCCAGGGTGGCTGATCTCCGAAAGGAGCTGGAGGAAGATCAGAATCACATCAACATTCTCCTGAGTGGTGACCGAGCTTTGACCAACGAGGAGCAATTGCCTTGCGGGACGGAGGTTTCAGTGCAGCTGTTGCGGCAAAGTGTGCTGGGGCGCTGGGTACGGAGAACCGGAGTACAACCGAAGGAGCCGAAGGATAGTGAGGTCCATGACTACAAGGAAGAGATCCTTTTGTTGCGAAAGGATGGACAAGGCCGCTTCTCAATGAAACATACCTGGGTGACGAATGCGGACAGCTATGGCTCTGACCAAAGAATGGTCGGCTGTTCACCTGAGACTATAAAAAAGGATTCTGAAGGTTTGGGAGGATTCTTGGAGAGCAGTGAGGAGGGAGCACCATGGGAATGGCAAGTTCTTGGAGAGCCTGCTGAGCCTTCTATTTGCATCAAGGGCGCTGGTTGGAGGGCTACTGGTATCATTGAGGATGACGACATCGTCGCCCATGGCTCCCATCGAGGGATAGAAAGTTTTGATGTGCCATTGCAGGAACTCCTGAAGACCTGGGACTTTGTTCCAGTGACCTGAGCAGCCTGAGCTCCAACACTTGTTACTTTGCTGACAAAGCTCAGCCGAGTTCCAAACATTTGAATTGCGGAGGACAGAGCGAAACAGGTGTGCTACACAGATGTAAAAACATGTGTAAGGAGAGGGATACCTTGCATTGGAAGTGGATTGTTTACTTACAGCAACTCCTTTTTGTACCACAACTACTAGGAGCAAAGGGCATCGCTACTAGGAGCAAGAAGGAGACACGTCCCGAACGAGTTGTCACGAAAGGTAGCCCTTTAGGGGATACCTTGAGTTTGTCTTGCGAAGCAAGTGTCGGCGAGTCCGGGTCTAATAATTGATTGCTCAATTCAACCCCCCCCCCTTGGAATTGATTTTTCTTTTTCAATAGGCCCCCCCCCCCCCGCCCCCTTGGAATTGATTTTTCTCAATACCGCCCCCCCACTCCCCCCCTCTAAATTCAATTCTCTCCTGGAGAACGTCTTCGTGAGCCTCTCATGATTTCAGGATAGTTGAAACCCTCTTGAACATTCAGAGTGCATATGAATGCATTGCGGTTGAAATTCTAATCACGAAAGGTGTTCTCCGAGGGGATACATACCTAGAGTTTGTTTTGTCAAGCACGTCAATTCTCTCCTGGGGAACGTCTTCGTGAACCTCTTATGGTTTCAGGATAGTTCAAATCCTATGATGCTCCGATTCAATGCTCACCGATGATCTGAGCCATGGGGCAAGTTTGTTTTCCTAAGAATTTTTGTTGAACATTTCGAGAGCATATGTTTGAATTTTTAGAGTGCATATGAAATTATATTTACGAAAGGTCGCCTTTGAGGGGATCAATACCTAGAGTTTGTTTTGTGAAGCAAGTGTGGGTGCTTCCGGGTCGGAGTGATTTCTCCCTAGAGCTTTGGAAGTCATTGTTCCATCTAGCCTCCCCTGCATTGTCGTTTGGGGCATCACCATGTCGAACATTGCATTTTTGTTCCTGCCTCTCGTGTTCCCTTCTCTTCCCGCTGTCCTACCTTTCGTGTCTCCCTTCTCTCAAGTGGGTCACGCAAGCAGGAGATAGGGGAAGCAACAGTCGGAACATATTGGGTTGCTGCACAATGAAGAGGCAGAACAGTCTTGTGGCACGTGGTACAGTTTGTTTGGCCCACACATCTATCATATATCTATATTTATAACTATATAAATATATATATATACACATTTGTATATCGACTTAGTTGTATTAATATAGGTGGGAGTTTGCATGGGGCAATTGGAGTGTTGAGTAGATTGGTTGGGCTTTTAATGCACGTTGCCAGAGCAATATGCTCATGGTGACTGACCCGGGCGAACTAACGGCGTCGGTTTTGTCAGAAGGAACATCCGAAGTATTTGTTCAGCTTTACTTTCTTCACCTTAACCTTTCAGGTCAGAAATTGAAGAGGAGGAAGATGAGGACCTGGCAAAGGCTTGAGAGTTGATGTGGGAAACTTGTTTAGACAGCCACGTCAACTGACCCGCATTCGGTCGCCTTCCGACACCAGTCTTTCACCAGAAGTGCCAGGTTATCACAAAGTGTCACAAAGTGACATCGTGTAACATATAGAGATTCAAGGGGCTGCCACGAACGTTTGGGGACTGTGTTGGTTGGCTTTTCAAGAGGCAATGGGGAAGGTTTTTGTCCCGGCGACGGCCCAGGCGAGTAAGAAGACAAAGGCAAAAAAGCTTGCGAAAGCCTTGGGATGAAGGGTCGACCTCCGTCCCACCGTAAGTGTTTCACACGGAGACTGCCGTGGAGGACGTGCATGGCAGGAAGTGCAGTGATGTGGTGTGCAATTTGTCAGGTTCACCACAAGGACCCTCACTTGTGGTTGTACATTGGTGTGTGTGGACCAGTTGTGCCATTTTGCCTCCAGGTGTTGAAACCTAGCCCCAGAAGATCATCATACATCATCTAAAATCCAATTGTGACTCAAGAACGCCAGCAGCTCAGAAAGGAGAACTTTTAGACCGCCAAAGTCTGCGAGGGCACAGATGGTGCTCAAAAGAATCTCCTATTGCTTCACAAGCAGTCGAAGCTCTCAATCCTCAAATAACCTTGAAGTCATTAGCGAGACACAGACCAGCCTCCGCACATAGGGGGAAGAGTCCTGATGATTTTGTGAGCACGATTCAAAGTATTTGTTTCTGAACGTTCTACAGAGAAATTTGTCCTTCAAAGGGGATTTGAGTGCTTAGCATCAAGTGTGTTTAGCATCGGCAAAGTGCCACCTCGGGACGCTTAGAAGCCTCAAGCGATGCAGTGCGGCGTGCACCAAAAGGAGCTAGGGGCAAAGGATCCGTGTGGAACTGATCTGATTTCAACAGGTCACAAGCATAATGCCATATATATATATATATATGACGCTGTACTTATTTTTTGCCCGCTCACCCCCGCTTCCAGACATGGACGCAGGATAGCTCACGTTTCTTCAAGGAAGCTCCCCCTGCCACCTTTAGGGCGGGGGGAGCTTCCTTGAAGAAGCGCTCGACCTAATCATTTGGTTCCTAGAGTTTTAGGTCACATTAATAT